TATGCTTTTTATTTTTCCCCTTAGAGATGCTGAAGTGCATTTTGTTCATAAAATGAAAGAAAATTACATGAGTGGACTGGAGATCCATTTCAATTAAAACTGGAGTCTACCTCCCTGAAAATACCCAAATTTGCTCGTAAAATAAAGCCTTGTTTATTCCAGGGGGAAAAGAAAAAGAAGGCCAGATGTGAAATACTGGGGCTAGAGAGACCCCTAGCTTTTCTTTAGGATTCAGCCTACAAAAGTTACAGCCAAAAAAGCCTGCCGAAAGGACAAATTCCTGAGTGGAGTTTTCCAGTCTCTTACAATAGTAACATCAGCCATCTCTCCTGCCTCCCCTGGGGAAGACTTCTGCCAAACAAGCTGTGTTGCTGCCTATCTGTGCTCTGCCCAGCCCTTCCCTAGCCTTTTGTCATTGGGCCAAGTTTAAACAAAACCTGCTCACACTTACAGGTGCCAAACAGTTTTCAAAATGTTCCATACCTATGAACTCATTTCATCTGTACGACAAGGTGGGTTCTCCTATTTGACAGATTAGGATACTGAGGCACCAGAGATTGAGGAATTGACCCAGCTGGCAGGGGTGGAAGAGCGAGCTGAAATTCCGACTCGGTGCCTGCAGCTGCAGGACCTCAGGTGTCTGTGACCCCCTTGCAGGGCTGTACAAGGTAGCAAGGGGCCTCAGTGGAGCTGATGAGTCACCTGTGGGGCACATGCTCCCATCTGAATTTTCTCATCCGAGTCAATAAATTTGGAGAAATTTTTCGGACAATGGAGAAAGTCTCATTCCAATCAAGCACCTGAATTTGAAGAATAACTTTTCACAAAGTTGGTGTCTCGGTGGCGTTGCCTCTGAAAAAGATGCAGCACTGGGTGGCCCTGGGCAAAACTGTGACATGGGTGAGAGTCTACCTGTCAAGGATTTATGGCCCCAGAATCCTACTGTTTAGGGAAAGACCATTTTCAGCTGCTGGGGAGAGACAATGAGACCCTGAGGGTGTGGGCACCTGAGAGAGGGCTCCACCCTTCAACTCTGAGAAAGTGAAATTAGTTACTGCTTATGAAGGAGGCAGGTAGTGGGATGAGACTGGTGTAAAAAAAGGGAAACAGTAACAGTGTCTGGGAACCACATGGCTGAAAGGGCAAGTGAAAGTGCCCCCTGATTTCCACGGCAGGGTGAGGCACAAGGGAGGAGGTTGTGTATAATAAAGGATATTTAAGTATTTAAAAACGGGGATTCTTATTGTTTGATTTGAAAGTGTTTGTTTTGCTTCAGTGTAAACCTACGTAATTACTTCCCGGCTCCAACCATATGCTGGTCCCATCCCTGCATCCCTTATGATGGGAAGAGGTGCTGGGTGGAAATCTGGGAAGAGTTGTCATCTCTGTGCCTAGCAGGAGCCTCAGTAGGGACACAGAAGCCAAGAAACAGAGGAGTTCATGAGAGGTTTGCTCCAAGGAAATTTGAGGAAATCACAAGAGCAGCTTTGGATATATAGCCTTGGAACTGGGGGGGTTTGCACAGGCATCATCTACATTTCATGGGAAGGGTGGTCTCAGGTGTCACACAAGTGATAGGTCTGCTAATCGGTGTGCACTCCCTCTCAGTAAGCACCCAGAATCCTCATGAAGCTACCTATTCAGTGCACTCCAAAGTTAGTGTTACAACTTCTTTGACTGAATGAAGAATTGATTCATTGTCTATTTTTAATATTCCATATTCCCCTAAAACTTTATCATAGTCACTTTTTTTGTTCATTGCCAAAATGTAAAAAAAGCAGTCATTTTCATTGGTGAGGCTGTCCTCAGAATCTTTCATTTTCTAGAAATGGCCTGGGGCTCCTTGCACACAAACTCTGAAACCAAATAGTAATATCACTGAGTTCCTAACCCTAGAGACTCTCAGCATAGGTGCAGCTTTGCATAACAGGGAAATTAACATTGACCTGGTACAAATGCTAATTAAATGTTTTTAAAAATTCAAGGATAATACTGTAATGCTGCAAAGATGTGTGTGTGTGTATGTGTGTGTGTGTGTGTGTTCACTTGAATATATTTGACAATGGATGTAAAGTTCAGGACAAACACAGAAAAAAAATTGCTATGAATGGACAGAGAAAATGGCTCCCTCTTACAGGGAGATTGGTGACTCACTATATGACAATTCATAAGTCACCTAGTCTCCACCTTTAAAATGGGGACTGGAACACTTGAGAATGTCTCTGTTCAGCTACAGGTGTATCTCCAAAATGCAAGAGACTCCTGTGGTAAAATGAATGTATTCTTGGAAGGGTTTATGTTGTGGAGAGGAAAATATACGTGAAAATGAACCTTTCAATACTTTCTGTGACTCGAAGAGTCTATGATCTTAAAAACTGAAAGTAAAATCACAATAGGAAAACTAAAAGAGAAACTCAACTTACACTGAAACAGGGAGACAGGGGAGGAAAGGAAGAAGGAAAAACATGCTAAAATTCGACCAGGAAGATGTGTAAGAACTCTATGTACTTAAGAGAACTGCTTGACCACATTCCGGTTTCTGCCTAAATTCACTGTTAATTCACAGCTCCAGAGACACCCATGTGGTTGGGACAGTTGGGCATTCAGAGCCTGGGGACTCCCAGATAAACATGATAAATGGATAAAATGCCTTGCTGTGTCTGTCTCTTTTGTCTTTAGCAGATGCTCTATAAACAATACAGAAAGGTGAAGGAAAAAATGTCACCCCGTCTTTCTTTTTGCCCTTTGGAATAGTTCTTGTAGGAAATAGAAGTTTCTGACCTTGGTATACTCTGATTCAATTAAATAAATACTTTCTGCTTGCGCACCATCACAGTGAGGAAGCTGCTTACCCACACGTCTCTAAAGGAACATTCAGAAGAAGAAGGAATTGTAGTTCATCCTTTCCCAGGTCACACCTAAAGTAGGTCTCTGCTAATAGGTAAGTTATTTATATTTAAAATTTAAATACACATTTTAGAATATGTTGAAGGAATTGTTCAAAGAGGAGAATCAGAAGTTAAATTCTACATTAAAGGGATTGAAAAATTAAGTACAGAATAGTGTTTTCCAAACTGTCAGAAGGTCTGAGAGCTTTATTAGATGTTCCCAGAAAAATAAAAATATAAAAGGTTAAGTAATTCTGGGGAAAGCTGAGTTAAAGAATATTACTGCCTTCTACATAATTTGGAGTATTTAATAGGCTAATGTATGTTATGAATTTCTAAGGAATGGATGTATACAGCAATTTTCAAATATGAAACTTTTTGGCAGTACAAAATAACATCTCACATTTTTTAAAGAAAAAAGGCTGGGAAATACTGGCATAGAACAAAACTGCACTTGAAGCTTGTTTTCTCGGTAGGTCGTATCGTGTTTTTACCATCAAAACATCTTGATATTGCGCTCAGTACACACTGACCATCCCATTCTATTTACTTCTAGTCTCATGGGGATTTACTATGGATGCTCAGATGTCCATACTTCTTGACACATCAATGTGAACACTAATGACCCTGCTCTGAGGAGCAGTGGTGGGCAGTGAAGCCAAAGAAAAAACTCCAAGTCTGCTTTTACAGAGGCCAGTCACAGAGCACCGAAAAGCAATGACATTAAATCACACCTTAATACAAAGTTAGACAATGTTCTTTTATGTTTGCAGTGGGCACACAGTGCTGGAGAAATGTCACTATTTTTTCCCTCTCAAGGTTTTTACATTTGGAAATATCTGCTTTGTTTTCATAATGTAAAAATCTTAATTGTTTTCTAAATAGCCCTGTTTCTCTCTACACTTCTCAGTCTGGAGCCTTGTTTTGGTCCAGTTGTGTATGACAATGATGGTGGCCTTTTTTGGTGTCCATCCCATACCTATTCTGGTTACAGGGAGACTTTGGCCAAAGCAGAGAGTCATGTAGTGTGATACTATCTCCATGGTAATAACATTCTGTCCCTTTGTAGTTAAGGTGTGTTTACTTAAGGAATTTGTCGCTTACAAGTAAAGCTCCATATAAGCAATAGATGATTTAGAAGAAAACCATTTGAAGTGACACAGGGACTTGAGGGAACTATAATCATTGCCAGCTGTGGGAATAGTAGGGAAAGCTATTGATAGGTCATGCAACAGATATTGGAAGATCCTGAATTAACTACCATAGATAACTATTCTTTAAAAACAAAAGAAAATGAAATCAATAAGGGGGGAAGAAGATAATAAGAAAAGCACCAGAAAGGATGTATACATGTTTTACCTCAATTAGGGCATCCAGATTATAAGGGAAAGAGAACAGTTATGTATTGTGGCAGGAAGACTGCAAATGAAATTGGCTTGTTCATAATTTTAATCATATTGTACATCAAAGTTCAAGGAAAAAGTCTTCCCACTGTATGAATCTTTTTCCTCCTGTTGAGTTTTGTCTTCCTTGACAACCAGAAGAGCATTCTGGCATACGTGGTGATACAGGCTATGTGAGGTGCCTCATCAGTCATGTTGAACACACCCCACGGCGATTACCACTCTGGTTCAGAGCAGGATAAATAGAGTTCAGAGCACAATGTGGTGTTTAGGGAGGTGATCTGGAAGCATTAACCACACACCTTTGGCAGAAACTGTTTTGTGAATGTGTCAGTGATATCTCAAGTGCGTGAAAGACCAGCTTTACTGTCCCTTGATATGAGATTAATTTTTTTATGTTTCTAGAGCATTTACCATTGTAAGGTAGACAAATATTATCCCTGTTTTTCAGCTGTAGAAACTGGAATGCTACAAGGTTAAGCAATGTTCACGAAGTTACACAGTGAGTCATTTTCTGAATCAGGAAATAAATCAGTGGCTATGATTCCCTTTTCCCTGATTCCACCAGCCAGCAGTAGTCACTCAGCACAATTTACAGAAGTATTTTTCTTTATTGTCTTGCAGTGGGCACTGAACAGACTTTCTGAGACTTAAAAATTATGAAATGTCACATATTTTAGGGAGCAGTAGAATTCAACCAAAACATTAATGCATTCAACAAGTTTTATTGAGCATTGATTGTCTATAGGAGCCAAGAATTTTCAGTCCCAATTTAATCTCCACTCTTGATTTGGAAATGAGCACATAATGTCTCTTTGCCTCTGGTAACACAGGGGTAATTATCCCTACCACAGATTTCATTAAAAAGTTACATGATTATATTGGATGATGTATTTTAAGCTGGATGAGTGGAATTAGTGAATATAATTTTTAAAGATGATCATCTCACTTTCCCCTTTCTAGTAGAACTTTGGTAAGCTTTTTATAAAAATGTTTAAAAACATAATCTAAGTTTAGCTTTGCATTTCTACTTGTCAAAATACTTCAGAAGAATGTGCCATATTACTGTACTAAACACTTTTAGAGCTATTGTCATATTCAGTCTTGTGACAACCACTTTGTTATTCTTCCTAGTAGAGAATTATACCTAACCAATTACTCATCCCCTAAAGTTTCTTAGGTATCACTCCTGAGCTTTGCTGCCCTGAGTACAATGTTTATTCTCTGTCTTCAGCTATACTCCTTTAGATATCCAGAAATCCCAAACTAGATACATTGACATAACTGAAACTTTGTGTTTTCTAGGTTTCTGATTTAAAGAGACTTTGCTAAATAATAAGGAAAGAAATAAAAAGGACATGAATCCAGAAAAGACAAAAAGCACAGCAAAAGCCTAGTTTGCACAATGCGTATTTTCTGATTCAACTACGGCTAATGAATGTACCTCTGATAAGGTTCCAGCTGCTAGCAGAGGTAGTAAAATTGAGACAGTCTCACAAAAAGATGAAACTGGGGGAAATGTAGGGCAGCTTGGTTCCCCACCCGCCTTACCACCAAGTTTCTTCTTCCATTGCTGTGGGTGTCTTAGATTTTGCCTTAATAAGGAAACAGTTTCCTTTGTAAGTTGGTAATAGTCTATTCATTTTAGAAAAGTGAGAAAGAGAAACTCAGAAAGGTAAATAACTCATTCAAGGTTACATGAGCATGAATTGGTAATGCTTGAATTTGGATCCATGTGTCTTTAAAGGGAGTGTTCTTTCTGCTGCGGGTAGCGGTGCGCCTGTCAAACACGTGATGTGTTTATGCGGAAGACCGCAGAGCGGTCCTGTGTGGTCAGGTGGGCACAACCAACCCGCTAACGTCCAGGGCACTCTGAACCAGTCACTCCTCACTGAGCTCGAGACAAGGAACTATCTTCAGGAACACCCTATCAATAGTAAGAACAAATTAAGAGCTGGATTTTTTAAAAAGGGAATTAAAAGTCATAATAATAATTAAAAATAAAGATGTGATAAGCATGAGACATGTCATAAAACATAGCATCTCATTAAAAAGACCCTACAGATTAGTAGGGTCACATTTTTATCAGTGAATTAATATATAACTATTTTGTGCATGTTTCTGTTTAAAGGCACCTTACTGAATATTACTGTTAATTCATTAACATCAAACTCAGAGCCAACAGTTCTGTAACTCTTGTTTGAACGAACCTTATCTAACACATATTTTTTTCTAGAAGGCACATTATAACTGCCTTGCATTTAGGAATAGTAGATGGCACTCCATCACCATGCTTGGGGTTGGTTTTAAATCAAATCTCAAAAAAAAGCACATATGTAAAAAAATGTGACAAGTAAATCATGAAAAGTCCACTTATTTACAGTATGAGAGCTAATACAAGAAGGCAGACCACCATTTTGTTCTACCTCTGCTGGCGATAGCCTTGTTTGGTTTATCTGGGCTCTGGACACATCCATGAATGACCCAAAAGTGCTGGGAATACTGATTTTGGAGGGTTACATATAAGTTTGAGTGAGTAGGCAAATTCACATGAAATATGAATCTGGAATCTGCAAATAATGAGAATCAACTGTACATGCAAAAAAAAACAACAACATAAAACCAGTTTTATTCCTGTGGCCAATTACGTATCTATACACACTGAGAAATCAGTGGGCTTTTCCTTATACTGGGAAATTTGATGACCAGTTATTAGCATAATGATCAACCTTGGCTTCAGGTGTACCATTTCAAATCTGATTATGCATTTTCTACTATAGTTCTAAGAATAAGCTAATTGAAATATAATGAATTTTAAAATTGTGTCACAAAATTAAATTATTCTGAGGGATAACAAACTAAATGTTAGCAATAATACATGATAGCAGGGCCAAAATTGGAAATGGGAAAGAATTGGAAGATGGTTTTTCATGTATGCCAGATTTTCATTTCAACATAACTGTTGCTGCAATGTCCTCCCACTAGCTTTTTTCATACCAAGTGCTATAATCCCACGCAGTCCACATGATGCTCAGCTCTATTAAGTGAAGTGACAGAAAAATAAGTGAGAGAACAGCGGGGTTATATCTCCCAATGATTTGGAATTTATACTAGTAGTGAAAATCATATAATGGAGAAGTTTGAAGCATAGAAAGCACTGGTGAATTGATAAATGATGGCCTTCATAATATGATTCTATTATTAAATGAGCTTTTTTTCTCCATCAAAATCCACCCCAAAAAAATAATTGTCACGAATCATACACATTAGCTGTCTTTGATATTGCAGGACTTGTAGCATGCTTGGTTTATCTTGTAGAGTTTTGGTATCAGTTGAAAGGATAACATGAGTGTGTGTAAAGGGGTAGGAGAAGGGTAGCAATAAAGTTAAATATGTTGTGTAGATATAGACTGACTTCCATGTAAACTAATAATACCTGAACCAGCTCAGATTTGCACTGGGATTGTGGTCCAGCCTTTGAGTTGATTAAGATGTAGCAGGAATCTGTCCAACTTCAAGCTGATGGAATTTGAAGTTCAAGAAAATTGAATCCTTGTATAGCAAAGCCATTTTTCTCACAATTTTTAACCAGTGAATATTGTGTGGGAAATTGATTCCATATGTTTTCAAGTCATTTATGCAATTTGAATAATTAAAATGTTCATTGGTAAGAGCTGCCTGATGTCTTTAAAGTCAGGAAGTTATCTTATGCCAAAAGTAGACAAACTCAAACACCAAAAGGTCGAGCTAAGTTTGAAATTTTGCAACATCCCAAAATGTAATTATTCTAAAAAAATTAAAGTGTTTGCTAATCCCTGCTGCTTATTATCACATGGTAGAAAAATAAGGAATTCCTTTATTCTCTCACAGTTCTTTTTGTTCATTTTCTTCTTGAAAAATCTTATGTGTCTGTAAAGTTACCTCCAAGTTATGTTGGATAAGAGCCTAGACTATTATTGACATATGTAATAAAATATAGTCCTCTCATTAAAAAATTTAATAAATGCTGTGATTCATTTCTAAGAATAAAGCATAATAATGAAGATATTTCTGATTTCAATCATATCTGAATAATTCTAAGAGTTGCAATGATCATTCCCATTTTGCAGATTTAGAAATCAAGGTCCAGGCAGATTGAGTAACTTTGAAAGCACATCCTAACTGAATCAAGTTAAATTTTGCCTGAAACACTGTAGAAATACTGATGAGAAGCAGTCATAAAGAAGACAGCCAATAAGTCTAGTCCTAATGAACTACTAACCTAAGGTTAATCTATTTACTTTTGTTTACGGTAGCAAGAGGATGGGACTTGGGGTAAAATATGAACATGAGGGATACTGAGAATTTTACTGTTTGTAGTGTAACGATGACTAAATTTGAAGCTGGAAGTCTTACATTCAAATTTTGACTCTTCCATTTATTAGCTCTGTAACCTTGGGCAAGTCCCTTGATCTCTTAGTTTCTGTTCCCTTATTAAGTGTGAATAATGAGACTTTATATGTTTATGAGGATAAAACAAGATACTAATGTAAGAGAGGTTAATAAATTAAAAATTACTATACACATGTGAAATAATAATTACAATAATATAGAAATAATGGGGAAGTCTTCACCTTTAATGAAATTGAAAATTAATGAATTTGAATCTGTTTTGTTTATTGTACTAGTTTATTACTACAGTATAATTTTTCCTCAGCTGCACTGTGAAATATAAATTTACCAACACATAAGATGTAAGTTATTTTTCTAAATTCTTTTTGAAAAAGTATAAACATCTTTACTTATTTCTCCATCTTTGCATCATTTTTACAAAAAGAGACAGCCCTTGCTTTACCTTGCTCACTCTGAATTTAAGACTTATTTAATATCTTAAAAAGAGTAATTCATTTAATAAGAGGGACAACAGCCTTTCAAATGAGATATTACTTCAGGAAAAAATAAAACAGAGGAAGAAAGAAAGTCATTTGGTTGGAAAGCTGATACCTGCCAGAAAAATCCATGGAAATCACCCCATTGCTGTGTATTGTGTTTATACTATAATTAAAAACAGATTAAAAAGAACTAGAGCGTAGCACCTCTGATTCGCCTTCACACTCAAGCACAGGAAGGGGCATGGTGTTACATTTAGCCAGTGGTACTCAACTAAGTCCAAGTTGTCTAGGCTGGACTATGGGTCAGGATTGCTTTGACAAAAAAGGTAGACAGTTTCCTTTTCTGAGATATTTCCAATAAAACAGAAGGAGACAAAAATGTTGGCTTGGTTTTTTTGTTTTTTTGTTTTGTTTTCTTTCTAGGTAAGCCAGTAGTGCTATGTGTAGGCTAAGGAACTTGACACATTTCCTACCTGCCCCCCCCTCTTAATGTGGTGGCTTGAGCTTTAGTACTGGTAATTCTGAATATATTGGGTCTTTTTGTATGCCCTAGTGAGGTTTCAGATGCAATATTTTCATTCTTTCAAAGAACATATGACACTGTACAGGAGCCCTGCTAAATCTTAAGTCCCAGGGAATTTAAGACCTTTTCCCCAGCCAATGAAGGACTAGTTACCTACCAGCTTCTCTGACTAGGAAGGCTCCTCTGTTCTTTGTCCTTTTCCCCTCCTCCTTTCAAAATGAATTCCATTGTGTTTACCCAGAAATGGGGCTTTGTGGCAATTAAAAGATTCCAAAGTGGCAGAGGCTAACGCACCAGTAGAGCAGGATTCCAGCTTTCCATGGTAACACCCGACTTCCCTTCTTGAACCACCTACTTCTAGTCCACGCAGACAATTCTAATCCTACCTCTGTGGTTACGCTGAAAAGACATCCAGTTAGGTTATCAGATAGGATCTTTCTTAAACAAATACTTACCAAGGTCTGTTTTACTCTTGGGGAGTGAGAAAAGGAAGGGCTTGAGTCTCTTAATCCCTTTGGATTGCACATTGTGCAGATGGTGATAGAATGTAGTCAGGACTTCTAGCACTGGTGCCTGACCGTGCAGACTGACACTTTAGTGCTTTGATGATTGCAAACCTGAAATTGCTTGATTGGCTACTCATCACATGGGTGACTATTATTCCTTATTGCCATCCCCTGCGAGTCCCTTCCTCTGTATGGCAGAAATCCAGGAACATTCCAAGAGGGTTACAACATTTTCCTTTTACAATAATGAGTCTTACCTTTCTCTTGGTTCTATGAACTCTTTAAATGTCAAAGTGATTCACATGGGAGGAACTGATCCTACATTCCTCCTTGAAAAGTTCAAAGATATCAGATCTTTTCTCTTATGAAATGGTGTGATACTTATCTTTTTGGTAATAATGCATTGCATAGTTATCATCACATTATCAATCTGCATGTAGACAAGCAGATTTTTGGATAAAAATGCATACATAATGTATGATATTTGGAGAAAATTATTTTCTATACCCCTCACTTTTCCTCCCTGCCTCAAGATGACCTGAACTATTACGAAGAATATTGCAAGAAAGAGCTAATTCTCCATATACCGATGTTGTTGGATGTTTCATTGACCATGTTTTAATTTGAGGACAGTGTGCAGTGTTATCAGCAATCTGCCTTTCACACAATCTAACTGTATTCCCCATATACATGAATGGGTGAAGGTTCACTTCCTTGAGATGCTCATTTACCCCGCATGAATTCTGAACTGCATTTTAAATTCCCCCTTCTGCAAGAGAACTAGTCTGAACATATATACATGTGAAAGAGAATAGTGTGACATTAAAATCCTGAGAAAGAACATACTAAGCATTTTATAATCCATTCACAACTATTTAGTGAGAGCGTTCTCTGCTGTTACTGTCTGGTCTCAGAGCAGAGCCACCTCCCCACTTAGGATCTAGACCCTCTCCCCTCTTGTCCCCTCAGATATCATCGCAGCAGTTTTTCTCTCTCTGGCCTGCATCATCAGTTTCCCTCTCTCCTGGATCTTTTTCATCTGCCTCCAAACACGACGTTATTCTCCCATCTTAAAATGCCCTCCTTGGACCTGATGTACCCCGGGTAATACCCCATTTCTCTCCATTTTTAGACAAAGCCCTTGGAAGTGTTGCGTACATTTGTAGCCTCTAACTACGTGTTCATTTCTCTTGAACTTACTCCAACCAGTCTTTTGCTTCAACTGCTGCAAGGTAACGACTACTACTGTCGAGGCCCCTAAGGATCCTCATGCTGCAAAATCTAAAGATCAATTCTCAATCCTCATTTTACATCATTGTTAGTAGCATTTAACACTATTGATCTACATTTATCTGAGGTGAAATTCTGGTGCACTATTTCTAGGATCCACAACTTCCACTGCCTGTGATTGGCTGATGACCCCCAAATCTACCTCAAACCAGATCTCATATTTGTTGGAGTTACAGCTGGCTGAATGAATTAATTTCTTTTTCCACACCTCATCTTAGGTGTTCCACCAACAGTGTTACTAAATGTAAGGAAAAATTAGAGCATATGGTACGTCTTTGTTCACTTTACTAACTCCAGAAGTATTTCCTTGCTACAATTATTGACGAGATTCTGACATGTGCTCTTCTTTTTCCAAGTGAAGCTATCTTCACTGGCAATAATCCAACTTTATCCTTATGCTTCAGAAGCAGTGAAAGTTGTACCTGTATAGATAAATAGTCTGCCATTCCAATTATGTAATTTTTTAAACATTAAAAGAATTAACTCTGATGCCAGTCATTACCAATACACCTCCAACCCTGCCTAAAGGTGTTTAATTCATTGGAACTATTATTATACAACTTAGGTTGTGTGATACATGGTGGTAAAAATTTCTCAGATTTATGACCTCCTGGTATCTGTGACCTCATGAGGGGACCAGGAATGTTTTTCTCATGCATTTGTTTCGCAGAGTGGCCTCTGACTCTCCTGCTCTGCTCTCCCAGCTGTCCTGCTCTGGGCCCAACACTGAGCTCCTGTAATTGGCCTGTGTTCTTATAACCAGGAAGCGGGATGCCCAGCAGGTTCCCAGCCTGTCTGATCCTGCCCTAATGCTTGGTAACCAAGTCCTGCTTTACTGATTGCGGTCTCCTTTACTCCATGCTTCCTGGTTCCTGATCCTGGGGACAAACTGGTTTTTAAAATATTCTTAATAGACTTTTGCTCTAGGAAGTAAACTTTCTGTAATAGGAGGACAATAAGACTTTAATTTCCTTATGAATGCAGAAATGAAACTATTATCCAGAATAGAGTACAGATTCTTCCTTTGGCTACAGATATATATATCTGTAAAACAGGATTTTATGTCTTTTATTATAATAACCCCCCCCCTTTTCATGTGGAATTTACACTGGCCTAAAGTGGCTTAGCTTGGCATCCGTCATCCTTGCGTTATAGCGAACTATTATGTGTTGTAATGCCCTTGTTTCTTGGTTAACAAGACTGCAGGAAGAGCATGAGTGGGGATGTGAGGGAAGGAATCTAAATTACCATGTGCAATGTAATTTATTATGTGGTAGTTTGATGTGACAACCACTTTTTATAAATGTGATGACATTCCCTGTCTCAATTAGCAAGGACACTATATAGAAGGAGGAGGAGAAGAAGGAGAAAAAAAACAAAAAAGGAAAGGAGAGAAGAAGGGAGGGGGTAGGAGAAGGAGGAGGTGATGTAGAGAGGGAGAAAGAGGTTGTCTTCCCATAAAGACCCATTAATCAAATATTTCAGAAAATTGGGAAACTGACTTACAGAATTTCATATTCATTTCAAATTCAATTCATATAGAGAACTTCATAGTCTCCCTATAGAGAAAGTTTAATTCCAGGGTCTCCTAATGCAGTGTCAACTGAAAATTAACTTGTGTTTGTTATATAGACTATCCAGTGGTTTAAACTGGGAGAAACTGATAAAGTTCCTAAGAACTCTTAAAGTGATATAGAAATCACACAAGGCTTTGAGTTCATCCTACCATATTTATCACTGTTTTCAAAAGGGTGTGATTATTGTGGTCATGATTGTGTTTAAAATAAAAGGGTAAGCTTCTTTTTCTTACTAATTCTTAAGGTCATAAACCATATGAACTTAAGCTATCTGTCCATGATCTTATTTCCATTTATGAAAAAAATTCTATAATAATTTTATCAAAACTTGGGGCATTTTAGAGCACCACATTTATACTAATTTATAAATATTAATGTCAGACCAGCTATGTTGCTTATATAAGGAAAAAAATAATGTTTATTAGGATTGAATGGCAGGATCAGCACATGACACAAGCTATTATCATATATAGAATTTGTTGTATCCATGTATCAGAATTCTCAGAAGAGAAGCCAACATTTGACTCAGCAGAAAGATTGATCCCTACTGCTGGATCCTCCCATTTGGAATAATGTTCCGGACAGTTTGTACTACCACTCCCTGTGCTGAATTCTGTTGTAATTGTGTGTCAAATTTTCCTTAATGTGAAATTCCCAGATATGTAGGATAGAAGGTCTTGACAGTTCATTTAGAAGAGTCAAGGAGTAGCCCCTATAATTTAATTCCTGGAAAGCCACCCTGGTGCCTAATAGTTTACATGGGCAACCCAACATGGTCCCTTATAATGGGCAGCGGATGGTTTAAAAGAAAGACAAAAGAAATCCTTGCAAAATATAGGCGTAAATTCTACTTGTTTCAGACTTCAAGCATCTCATTGCCGGGACTGATTTAAGCCTGCAGATGGGGAGGAAGAACTGGCATGGAAGGGGTAAAGGGAAGTTGCCATTTCCAGTGCTCTGAAATGTGGAAAGGTCAAGGATCAATCCAAATGTTTTGTTACTGAATGCTTGTTTTGTGTGTGTGCACATACACGTATGTGTAAACTTGATAACATTCAAATCTGAATCAGGAGACTTTTTAATCAATATATATTTAAAACATATTCTGTGAGTTACATTTATATTAATTCTCCCTCTTCAATCTCAGAATAATTTCTCATATTTAATATCCAATGTTTAAAAGTACACCTAGATTCTTAATAGTGATATAATAACTTTTTGATTGCTCTGGAATGTGGTTATCCTTGTTTTAATAGACTCAGATATGCACTACATGGGTCTTCATGTCTCTGTTGTTTTTCATGGTATGTTTTGATTCCCCACAAAAAAAAAATCAGTGCTTCTGAAACAGAGCTTCAGCCACCGTGTGGCTGGATTAATCTGTCATCATAGCATCAACACTCTTCAGAGCAAAAAGTTCAGAAACTCAGTTTTCCTAGCTTTAGAGCTTCAGCCACCGTGTGGCTGGATTAATCTGTCATCATAGCATCAACACTCTTCAGAGCAAAAAGTTCAGAAACTCAGTTTTCCTAGCTTCTGAATAACCCTTCAGCTTCAGGAAAGAAAGGCAGGCAAGGTTAGGCCCCTAGTCACATATTTTTGAGAAAAAATATAAGTTTATCAGATCAACTAAAACTAGAGAAAGTTAAAATTATTTTGCAAGAAACACATCTTGGAAAGTTTCTGTAAAAATAACACAGAGCTCTGTCATCAAGGTGTAAGTCATTCATAATCAGGATTCTGTGAGAGATGACTCATGACTCTTGGATAAATGAACATAAAAGCAATTAGCAGGATGTGAGTTATTTGGTTTCTAAATAGCCTGGCAGTTATGACAACCAAATTTAGATTTTTATCTCCCCATTGCTAATTCAATGTGTTCAGCATTAACTCTTTTTTCTTATAGTTAGTGAGAAACTTTAAAAAAAAAAACTTAAAAAATATTTATGGCTATATTTCCTATCTAAGGAAAGGGAGCATGATAAAACAATGTAATTCCAAAAAGATGCCACCAAATTGGATGTGTCATCCCAGTGAGCATGTCCAATGTAATGCAAAATTCAAATCACATGATGGACAGCCAGTCACCTGCTCAGAGTGTACCATACATGGGATAAACTGAGGGAGCTGGCAAACTTAATTGCTCTGAATCTTTCAAAGGACACTTCACATACTCAAGGCTGTCTCATTTCCTTGCTC